TCGGTATATGAGTCAGTCTTTATATATATATATATATATATATATATATATAACTAATAAAGCTTTACTTACATTTGGTATCAAAGCCCTCACATATCATCTGACCCTATGTGAAAGGCATCAAGAAATTTCATTCTGTCTCGCAGGTTATGGAACTGGAACTGTATCATCAAGGAAAAATATATAAAACACGTTCAAGGATAACTAAAGTTATCCTTGATCATAAGGATATTATGTTTTTCAATCGATACATGTACCAGTGATGGTGCTTAAAATTCAAGACATGATTATTGATCATCTAAAGATGATTTTTCTTTCATGCTTCGAATTTGAGCAGCGTATCATTATATATATATATATATATTTGAATCAAATTAATATTGTCAAACCACAAAGGCTTGTGATTTTAATTACAGAAATTCGAATGTTGACTATAAAAGTGATATGATTAAAGAAAGTTTTCACATATTCATCAATCTAAAGATGTTGAAGATGTGATTTATGGTTTGGGGTTAAAGATTAATACTCTTTACATCATGAACGTTTTCTTTTCAGTGAATCCCAACTCTTTGAATCTCAATACAGTTGAGCCTCTTACTGGTGTCAACTATAGAAAGTGGAAACAAGATCTCGAAATCGTTTTGGGAGTTATGGACTGGGATTTGGCACTGAGAACTGAAGAGCCTCCGGCACTCACTGATGACAACACCTCCAATCAGAAATCCAAGTATGAAAAATGGCACAAATCCAACAGAATTGCCCTATTGATCATCAAAAGGAGCATGACAGATGTGGTGAGAGGTGGCTTTCCTGATGAAACAAATGCAAAAGATTTTCTGAAGTCCATTGAGGCAAAGTATAGGGAATCGCCAAAAACTGAGACAGGTAATCTCATGAATGCTCTCACTACTATGAGATATGATGGGGTTCAAAGTGTGCGAGAATACATATTGAAGATGGTGGACGTTGCTGGAAAACTCAATGCACTTGAGGTACCGATTTCTGATACTTTTCTGGTACATGTCATTATGAATTCTCTGCCTGAGAGTTATACACAACTCAAAGTTTATTATAATGGTCTACGTGAGAAATGGGATGTGAATGAATTGATAGCTATTTGTGTGAGTGAAGAAGAAAGGATGAAGAAAGAAAGGTTTAAGAAAGAGAGAATTGAGTCTGTGAATTTTGTCCAAAGTGTCACTAGGGCCACTAAATCTCATATCCCTAATACTGCCAAAAAGGACTCTACCAAGTCAGTTCCCTCTCCTAAAAGAAACTTCAAACTTAATAAACCTTCAATTTTCAAGTGCTATTTTTGCAAAAAGGCAGGCCACATGAAGAAAAACTGTCCCAAATATAAGGCTTGGCTTGCCAAACAAGAAGCAAAGAAAGGTAAAAATGTTTTTGCTTGTTTTGAATCAAATTTAATTAACATACCTAGCACCGAATGGTGGCTTGACTCGGGCTCTTCTATACATGTTACAAATTCATTACAGGACTTCACAACAAGGAGAACACCAAATAAAGATGAAGTCAAAGTTTCGGTTGTCATGGAAGAAGAGTTGAAGTCAAAGCCTTAAGAAGTGTTAGACTAAAGCTAGAATTTGGTTTTTATTTAGAGTTAGATAACGTTGTTTATGTGCCTTCCATGAAAAGGAAGTTGATTTCTATTTCAAAGCTAGTGTTATTGGGTTTTTATTTTACTATTAATAAAAGGGGCTTTAACGTTTTTTATGAGTCTTCTCAAGTAGGACATGGTTTCATGAGTGATGGTATGTTTCAACTTAAATTGAATCAAACTGAATATGTTTTCAACGTACAAGATGATAAAATCAAAACTCAACAGTCTTCAATATTATGGCATAAGAGACTCGGCCATATTTCTAAACAAAGAATGGAGCTGCTTGTCAAAAACGAAATTCTACCTCCATTAAACTTCAATGACTTTGATTTTTGTGTGGATTGCATTAAAGGGAAAATGACAAACACTAGAAAAGAAGGCTCAACTAGGAGTAAGCAACCCTTAGAGATCATTCACACGGACATTTGTGGTCCTTTTCCCACACAAACCTTAGAAGGAAACAAATATTTCATAACTTATATTGATGATTTCTCAAGATTTTGCTTCATTTATTTGATTTCAGAAAAGTCTAAAGCACTTGAAACTTTAAAATTTATAAAAGTGAAGTTGAAAATCAATTGGAAAGGAACATTAAGGTTGTAAGGTCTGATAGGGGAGGGGAGTACTATGGTAGATATACTGAAATTGGTAGAAATCCTGGACCCTTTGCGTCATTTCTGCAAGAACATGGAATTGTAGCCCAATATACCACACCAGGTACTCCGGAGCAAAACGGAGTAGCCGAAATGAGGAATAGAACTCTTATGGACATGGTAAGGAGCATGATTTGTAGAACTAATCTGCCAAGTTGTTTGTGGGGTGAAGCAGTGAAAACTGCAAATTATATATTAAATAAGGTACCTTCAAAATCTGTGGAAGGGACACCTTTCGAACTATGGACAGGCAGAAAACCGAGTTTAAACCATTTGCATGTATGGGGCTGTAGAGCAGGCAAAGATATATAATCCCGGCTACAAGAAACTTGATTCAAAGACTGTCAGTTGTCATTTTATTGGATATGCTGAAAGATCGAAGGGTTTTAGATTCTATTGCCCTAACCAAAATACAAGAATTGTCGAAACTGGAAAAGCAGTTTTCATGGAGTCTGATGCAAGCGTTGATTCTGGGACAAGGGTTGAAGGGTTCGTATTTGAAGAAGAAATTAACAATAAAGAAGCTGCAGTTGAAAATGTTGATCGTAACACAACGATTATGGCACCAATAATTGTAGTAACCGAGAACATGGGAAGCAATGATTCTGATGAACCATGTAACGAGATAGAGGTTGCACATGACATCGAACTGCACGATAACACTGTCGTACAAGATGTGTTTGAAGAGGCTATGACAGAAAATCAACAACAACAACACCATGCACATGAAGACAACATCACGGATGTGGGTGCTGCAAATATAAGAAGGTCATCTAGGGTTAGAAAACCTACAACCCTAGATGATTTTGTATATTTGACACAGGTTGACACTGATCTTTCAGAGTTTAATGATCCACTGAGTTACAAAGAAGCAATTGCAGGACCAGATGCTGGTAAATGGATAGAAGCCATGAAGAGTGAACTGAGTTCGATGGCAAACAATCAAGTGTGGGATTTAGTGGAACAGGCAGAAGGATCAAACCCATAGGATGTAAATGGGTTTTTAAAACAAAAAGGGATTCAAATGGAAACATAGAAAGGCACAAAGCCAGGCTCGTTGCGAAAGGCTTCACACAAAAGGAGGGTGTAGACTACAAAGAAACATTCAGCCCCGTGTCGACAAATGATGCGTTTAGGGTTATCATGTCTATGGTGGCTCACTTTGATTTGATTTTACATCAAATGGATGTAAAAACGGCGTTCTTGAATGGGGACCTTGAAGAGTGCATTTACATGCGACAACCAGAAGGTTTCAAGGAAGAAGAAGGAAGAAACCTAGTGTGCAAACTCAACAAATCCATATATGGATTGAAGCAAGCATCACGGCAGTGGTACTTGAAATTTCATAGAATTGTGAAAGAACATGGCTTCACTGAGAATCCTTCAGACAATTGCATCTATCAGAGGTTCAGTGGGAGCAACTTTATCATCCTAGTTCTCTATGTGGATGATATACTGCTTGCCACGAATTGTCACAGTTTATTGGATGATACAAAAACTTTTTTGCATAAGCATTTTGAAATGAAGGACATGGGAGAAGCGACTTATGTTTTGGGCATTGAGATCAAAAGGGATAGAAAGAGAGGCTAGCTAGGATTGTCACAGAAAGCATATAGAGAAAATGTTAAGAAGGTTTAACATTTCTTTGTGTGGAACTACCGAGATGCCTATATCGAAGGGTGATAAATTGAGTAAGCTACAGTGTCCACAAACAGACTTAGAGAGGAAGGCTATGGACGACAAACCATACGCCTCCGTGGTGGGAAGTTTAATGTATGCATAGGTGTGCACAAGGCCTGACTTGGCTTTCACCATTTCTGTGCTTGGGAGGTTTAAGTCCAATGCAGGTGAAGCTCACTGGAATGCTGCCAAAAGGGTTTTGAGATACCTTCAGAGACCCAAGGATCATATGTTGGTGTATAAAAGAACCGAGAGTTTGGTTTTGGAAGGGTATAGTGATTCAGATTTTGCAGGTTGTCCAGATGATATGAAGTCGACTACAAGTTATGTTTTCTTAATGGCATGTGGTGCGGTTTCCTGGAAGTCTGTCAAACAAGGAACTATGGCAGCATCAACAATGGTTGCAGAGTATTTATCAGTCTGTGAAACAGTGAATCAAGCTATCTGGTTGAAGAATTTCATACTTGGGCTTCAAGTAGTGGACTCTATATCGAGACCTATACAGATTTTCTGTGATAATAATGCAGCCATATTCTTTACTAAGAATAATAAGAGGTCTAATGCAACAAGGAATTTCGATATAAAATATCTCATTGCTCGAGAGAAGGTGATGGCCGGTCTAGTTAAAGTTGATTATTTGGAGACTGGATCCATGATTGCTGATCCGTTAAATAAAGCAGTTCCCACCATTGTTTTCAAGAAGCATGTCACTAGCATGGGAGTCTTGGCTGGTTTTGATGAAGCGAATTAGTGGGAGCTATGCAACAGGTTTAAACTTTTATGCTAGTTTTAATTTAATAGCAATTTATGTTATGGAGGATAAGTTTTGAGTATTAACAATGAAGTTTTCTTAGCTAATAAAGAATAAAGCTGAAAGGTTGTTCAAGTTCCCTTAAAGAGTTTAGATGTTAGCTATGATAATGCATGAATATTTTTGCATGCTGTTTATGATTCTTATTCATTATACAGTGTCAGACAACTTGAGGGCTTTATATAGAAGCACATGGATCGTTTTTCCATTCTGAAAGGGACCAAATGTTTGACATAATTAATACATGTTTGGTTGTGTCTTACATGCTATATATCTTGTTGCAATCTTATGTGTTGATAAGCTTTACTAAAAGTAATTATGGGGACGGTACTCTTCAGTGTAATGAGTGTGTTGCCCTATAATTCTCATAAATGCTTAACAATGACGAAGACTGGAAAACTAAGAAGTGTCGAAAGTTAATCTCATGGCCAATTCAGATCCTTCCCAACTCCAGTATGATTATACAACTTTACAAAGTATTTGCTCTAGTGGGAGAATGTAAGTTCTATTTGAGAGCAAACACTTTGTGATTTGTACAAAGACTTTTGGGACGACAAGGAGATTAACATTAGCACATGCGGTAGACTTTTAAGGAGTTGTGTTACTTAGGTATACAAGTCAGAAACATTCTTAGATAAACTAGAACTCTTCTAGCTGATTTATGCATAAGTAATCTTCGGTGATAAGGTTAATCTTTGATAGGGTTTACTTAATGGGAGGACTCCTAATCAAAGCCCATCACATATACTATATAACTGAGGTCCCTGTGCTCTCACTAAACACACGCAAGTTTACAGAAATTCTCAAGCCCCATTGAGTGAGTCTTGCTTCCGGTCAGTGCAGAGTTACAGAAGAGCCTCAGTTCCTTACCCTATTTCTGAGACGATGTCTTCCTCAGGTTAGTGGTTAGATCGGTATATGAGTCAGTCTTTATGTATATATAACTAATAAAGCTTTACTTACAAATGGTACAGTTTGTATTGTAATAGAATTGCATCTAGATGCGGAGGCATCGTTGTGAAGCCAACAGTGACGATGAAGTTGTGGAACTAACTGAGGTGGAAGTCCTGAGGAACAAATCCGACAAGTAATTCCCCAAGTCATCTGGTGAATATCTTACCAACAACTCCAAATTTTTCTCCCCACTTTGCATTACCATGTATGTGTCATAAAATTCTTGATATCTTGGTACCAGTTTCTGCTCAATTGAAACCTTTAAGTCATCCCTCAATTTCCTGTCCTCTACAATCCATGATGTCTGTTTCCTATATGCCTCTTCAAACGCTGCGTTGAACCTTTTAAAGCATTCCCTTGCCATTTCCGGAGATGTTTCTGATGACTTCTCTGGTAATGATGATAACACCTTTGTCCAGGCTGTGGATTCGTAGTTTGAAGCGTACAGTTTAACCTTCTTCGTGTGTTCAGTGACCCAATCTTCACCGAGGAGGAGTTTCAGGTTCGGTGTTTGCTGCACCTTCTCAACAATGAATTGAAGATTGTTGACAAGGAAGAGATATGACAGAGACGCATCTTTATAAATTTCAGCTTTCGTGTCGAGCTTGCACATAAGGACTAGAATGAGCCAAGCTAGGTGGACTGACACTGCTGGTGTTGAACCGTCATCTGCCATTGGGCTCTTGAAGTGAGATACTTGATTCTTCGGTGGTGGATAGTCAGCAAGGATATCCGAGAGAGCTCCATGGTGGTCTGCTAATGAAGATACTAAATTCATCACTGATTGTGTCAACGGGTGAATCCTGCCACCAGAGGCTAGAAATTTTGATGAATCCTTTTGAATGGTTGATTCAAAGACAGAAAGACTAGACTGGACAGAATCTGAAAGTTTGAGCCACGATGCGAGAGCTTGTAGTTTTATTGCTTGGGTTGATGCAGAGGTAAATATTGATTCAATCTCTGGCCAAAGATTGGAGAATACTTCGTAGAGTTCCAGTTGCCAGAAAATTCTTTCCCGGCACTTCTTGTTCTTCACTATGAGTTCCGGAAATCTGAATAGGGTGGTTGCTCCTCCTTTTGTTATCTCATAGAAGCATGAGTCTGCGATTGTCTCGGATGCTGAAAACACATGATCACAGAGAACTTTTTCTCCATGAAATAGTGCTTTCACAGCAATCTTCGCAGCATCCATCCAGTTCATGATTATGTTTTCTAGTCCTTCCGAATCCATTTTATGGATTTGGGAAGACTTGAACTGTTGGATTCCAAGGCGATACAATCCCTCATCTACTATTGACTTTCGGATAACTTTGTATATCTTCACACACTCATGACCATAGCCGGAACTGATCATACAATCCGCTATGGATTTCAGATCCGCCATGGCGAGAGCCGAGACCCTCTCCACCTCAGTGATCGACCCACCAACAATTTCCAACTCTTCTGATCCACCCTCGTCTTCACCATTAAATGTGCATGATCGGATTGAGGTTCGACTTGAAACTGATTCAGGGTCAAGGTGACGCCGGTTTGCAGACAATATCTCATAAAACTCCCTTTCAAGCCTTTTCATAGCTGTTTGCATTAGGTTTTGAGCAAGCACGAGCTTGCTGGATGGAGAGCTTTCATGAACCAAAACATGCATAGCACTACGCAAGTCCTTTACGGATTTGAGAAGCTGTTTGGCCTCTTTTCTGCTACTCTGGAAGATAGACGTGAGTTTGGTGTATGAGGAGGAGTTTGGATCCCATTTCGTGATGATGAATTCAGCTGTTTCGATGTTTTCCTCCATCATCGAAAGAGACAAGGTCGGGGAAGGTTTTGGACCGGTGGAAGTGCTTGAAGGTGTGTAAGAAGAATGGTTTTTGACATGCGAGAAGGAAAAGAGGCATGACATTCCTTTCCTTGGTGTGAGTGTAGTACCACCACTCTTCAGGTACTCGGAGAGCATCATTGAGCTGGGAATGGTGTCGAGAGAGAGAGAGAGAGAGAGAGAGAGAGAGAGAGAGAGTTGATTTTATGGTTGTGGTTTTTGGTTCTGGAAGGGTTTTATAGAGGAGAGCCGTCCGGTTTCCAGTTGAGGGAGGTGGATTTGCTTATTTGCTTGGAACCTTACTCTTTGACTGACTCTGGATCTGATTTTTCAATATAATTAATCAAGCAATTTTTGCATCATATTTTTAGTTTTTTTTTTAATTTTAAATATATCATGTTCAATGAATCATATGGTCAAGCTGCATGCATTCTTCTAGTTAGTCAAATTTAAATCCCTTTGCTTGTATCCAAATATATAGAGATTTCGCTTTCCGTTGAATAATTTGATTTAGTAGTCAAATTGAGAATCTGAATTTGCTGATTGAGTGATATTTTCAATGAGCGATCATCTAATTAGCAATTTGAACTAGTAACTGGCTTGCTCCAAAATGCAACTGATCGATATTGTTAATTTTAGATGAAGGTGGAGTTGTGGTCCTTTTGGAAGAGAAAATAGCTAGGGTTGGTTCCACAACAACCCGGAAGCAACACGGAAAGAGCGGGGTTTGATTAGTTATAACCGTTTTTCAAGTCTCCAGTTCGTCCAAACAAGAACCAAACTAATTATGACTGATTTGATAAACTGGTGTTTACTTCTAATGTCATCATTCTTCACGCGACTCATAAATGGACGCTTTTTCTTTTAGAAAGATTCCTTGCTCACCAGAATGTTAAGATAAATGTTAAAAATGGATGATCTGTGTAGGTATCGGTGTGACTGTTAATAGTTTAATATACGTGAATTCCACTTGAATTTACTTAAGAGTTTGTTAACCAACGCTCTCTCATAGAAGTGGATTCTTTTTTATTTATTTATTTTATAAATAAACGATATTTTCTATACTAAGGGGAGGGGATGGGCTTAACCTCATAATGAGTTAGCAATAATGTGGTTCAAACCCGCATTTGGCGAGAATCGAACCTAAGACTTTTTCATTACAAGCGAAAAAGAATACCACTAGATTGTAATATTAATGTTCGTCTAGCCCCTTCTTTCTTCTGGGCTTCGGCTGGGCCTTGGACTTTTCCTTCTTCTGAACCTCCTTTTAGGCTTTCTTTTGGGCTAACCTCTTTTTAACCTAAAGTTCAAGTTTTGTCCCAAACAATTAAGTGGTCATAGAATTGGATTCTTAAAATAAGAAAATAACAAATACTTATTTGAAATATATTCCCAAAAACGGTGCATCTTAACCAAAAAAAAATGTTCTTCACTGTTCTGACAAGTTCTCAATTACGTAGATAGGTAAGCTTATCAATTATCGATGGTGAAGGGCTAATTAGAAATTGTCAAAGGTATGCACCCATAAATCAAATAATAATTATTATGTGCACCTATATTTGACTTGCACGCATGATCTCTGATCAACGGCTGAATATACGAGAGAGAACAAGTCTCTGGGCTGCTACCATTGTTAAGAGTAAGTCCATTCCTAAAAAAATACGCCAGTATCCAGCCTATTTAATCCACTTAGTGAACAGTGATAGATCCCGATGAACAGTAATAGACCAAATGCATCTTCATCCTTAAAATTAAATAGCCTAGTCAATTTTATTAAAATATTATTAATTTTTATTATAAAATAATAATTTAACTTTTATTTTCTGACTTTTTAATAAAATAAAATATTATTCTTATTATTAAATACGCACGACGAGCGAACCAAATTGTTATCCTTATCGTCCTCCTCTAATAAAACCAGGAGAGAGAGAGAGAGAGAGAGAGAGAGAGAGAGAGAGAGAGAGAGAGAGAGAGAGAGAGAGAGAGAGAGAGAGAGAGAGAGAGAGAGAGAGAGAGCTGAGAGTTTGTGCTGCAGGCTGAGCAGCTGAGCTTTGGGGTTTAATTTCTGCATCTCCACCCCTGCAGCCCTTCCATTCCCACCGCCGTCCACCCCTGCACTTCCCTTCCATTCCCACCGCCGCTTCCAAACCTCCACACCTCCACACCTCATGTCCTTCAAATATTTTTAATTTCTGCATCTCCACACCTCTTCATAGTCCGCTTCGTCCTCCCGTCCTTCTCCTTCCGTGGCTCCTTCCCTCTCGACACCCTTTCCCGCCTCGACCACCTCCATTCCTCAGCCTCCACAACAACATCCTCTCTGGCTCAAAAATAAATAAATAAAGAAATAAAAAAGGTGGTCGACGTCACGCTAGCGTCAGCATGACATCAGATGGGCTGGTCCATGGCTCTGTTGATTCTGAGCTGGCCTGGAGACCAACTTGGGCTGGGTGACAGCCTATCTGCTGGGCTGGACTGGATTGGCTAGGTGTAGGGCCAATATTTTGGCTGGGTGCCCGCGGCCTAAAGAGTTCCCTGTGGAACTGCTCTTAATTAAACTTCGTTAATAATTAAGCAATAATGTTTACCAAAACTGGCAATGGGGTTAATAAGATAGAGGATATCATCAGCGTGGATTGGAGAGCAAGTTGGATCTCCACGTACAAATGCACGTGTAATAGTATGAACTAACGATAAGATTGATTTTTCATAAATTTTTGTGTTATAACACAAATTAGATTAATAGCATCACGCGACGTTATTAACATAAAACTTCTCCTTCTTGTTACCATTTTCTGCTTAAGCATCTGGTACATGTATTAATATTGCACCACTACTCTCATTCAATTATATTCTATAATTCTATAACAAGACTATTAGAGAAACTTACATCTAACGAGTTTACCGTCATATGACATTATGATCTAATGCATTGTTATGTATAAGTTATATTCAAGGGACACTTTGGATGCGGTCCCTAGCTATCAATATTCTTTGATTGAAACATTGTTAGTTTTTAGTTTTTGATTGAGGTCTTTGACATTAATGTAATAATGTAAGTTACTATATTTTTTTAATTAATAATTAAAAATTGAAATTTGTAATTGTTTATATTAATGAGATTTTAAATAAAACCCATAATTTATGGGATTAAAAATAATAAAATATAAATTATACTCTCTATTATATTGTGTGTGTGTGTGTGTGTGTATATACATATATGTATGGGTACATTAACCAAAATTAACAAAAAAAGTTATTGTACCAAAACATGGATACATTCTCAAATCAACGAAAAAGAATGTACCCATATAAGTTTAAACATGGATTAAAAAATTTGAATGGATTTTATATTAAAAAAAGGGTACATTGTACATATAACAAATTGATATATTTGAGAATGGGTACATTTAAGATTTAAAAAATTGAAAAATTATATGAATGGGTACATTTAAGATTAAAAATTGAGAATCTTTTTATATATAAAAAAAAACCTAATAGGTACAAACTTAATTTAATTTATTTTTTTTTATTTTGGAAATGTTTGAATTGAAAATTAATTAGAAGTTTAATAGAGGTGTGAGTATTAAACCCTAAATTAATTACTAATTTTTATATTAAAAAATTATATAATAAACATGTAAATTCATTATCACATCAATACTAGGGACTTGAATCAAAATTTGAGAACTAATAAGGTCTTAGTTAATAAACAGTAAAAACTAGGGACCGGATACTAATTTTTCCTATATTCAAATTATAGACCTAATTCCTTTTGTACCGAAATAAGACTATAGACCTACGTGGACTGACTCCCATGCAGGCAGGCAGATTGCATATATTTTAGATGTGCAGTAGCTGTCGAAGAATGAGACAAAAATAAAAACAAATAAAACTATTTTTCCAGGAAGCAACCTGGAAAGAGTGGGGATTGATTAGTTAAAACCGTTTTTCCGGTTTCCTGGTCTTCCAAACAAGAACCAAACTAATGACTGACTTGATAAACTAGGGTTTACTTCTAATGTCATCATGTCTTCACAAGACTCACAAATGGACGCTTCTAAAATGATTCCTTGCTCACCAAAATGTTAAGACAAATGTTAAAAATGGCTGACCTATGTAAGTATACGTGCGATTGTTAATCGTTTAATATACGTAAATTCCACATGCATTTACGACTGAGGAAAATCTCCTCATGTGAGTTCTTCGGCTGTTGCAAATTTCTAAAAGTAAGAAAATAACACTTATTTGAAATATTTTCCCAAAGACGGTGCAGTTAACCAAAAAATGTTCTTCACTGTTGTGACAAATTCTCAATTACGTAGGTAAGCTTGTCAATTATCGATGATGAACGGCTAATTTGGAATTTGTCAAAGTTATGCACCTATAAATCAAACAATAATAATTATTGTGTGCAGCTATATTTGACTTGCATGCATGATTCACTGATCAACGACTGAACGAGCGAGAAGAGAATCCCAGTCTCTCGGTTGCCACCATTGTTAAACTTCATTAATAATTAAGCTTTACCAATATTGGCAATGGGGTTGATCAGATATGAAATATCATCAGTGCACTAATGAGTAAGTTAGCTCTCCACGTACGAATGCATGTGTTATATATAGTATGAATTAGCGATAAGATTAATACTTCATGAATTTAAATATACGGATCATAAACGAATTAGATTAATAATACTTCATCTTGTTACCATTTTCCTTATGCATCTGGTACGTGTATTAATATTGCACCATTAATCTCATTCAACTATATTCAATAATTCTATAACAAGACTAGTAGAGAGAGACTTACATCTATTAACAATTGAAGAATAAAGGTTGAGAGTGAAAGGGAGAGAGAAAGAGAGAGAGAACAACATATTCTATTGATTGAATGTATTACAATCCTTATCTCACAGTGGTAGCTACCAATTCCTTATATAGCCAAAATATATGTCACAATCACTACAATACCCTTCTAACAACCACAACTATATATATTAACAAACTATTTCACTCACACACTGCCAAGTGTCATGACAGTTATATCAGCTATTACTTCCCCCTCAAACTAAGCTTGGAGCAGCCGAGTGAAGTTTGAATTAATCATGTTCCTGAAGCTGTTATGAAATACCAAGGCCAAGATTTCTGCGATGCCTCAAGAATATTGGACTATGAAGCCCTTTT